AAAAAGTATCGAGGACACACTTTTAATCTGCACTGTCAACATTTTCTCTATAAATTTATTGTCTAGACATTAAAAAAAATAAATCACGCTCTGATTTGTAGCAGTTGCCTGTGCACAGAATAGAAATTTAACAAGCTGACTCTGTCATATCCTTGAATAAGCACATAATTGAGTGAGGGAAAATAAGATGGAGGTTCAAAAGCATGTTACTGAGCTCTGTAACTCACTCCTACCATTTTATAGTGGGAGGCTTTCCTTAACAATTTTTCTGTGCTTCAGTTTCCCCCATGTGAAAAATGGGCATTGGGGGGGAGAGAGGAAAGAATAGATAAATAGAAATAAAGATGATAGATAGATGATAGAAAGGTAGAGAGAATGAGAGATAGATGATAGATCGATGGCAGACACATAGATAAGCATATATGTATCTATAAGAATATAGATTTGTAAGAATAAGTCCAGATGTATCATGCATTTGGTGCTTTAAGAATTAAGAGATAAAATCTGTAGACTGCTTTGGGGCACTCCTCAAATATGAAATATTATTATAATTAGACCAAATTTGCATCTTGGGGTCAGTTTTTCTGATGAAGTTAAATGGGATAATCCAAAAGATCTATTAATTTTCCACAAGTCATTGTATCTAAAGACCTTGGGGATCTTGAAAATTGATTAACTATGACAGGACTGACAGTATATTTCTGGGTGGTTATGGCAAACCTTGGGTGGTATTATAAGGGATGCCAATTTTTATGTGACAGTGAAATTCATATGTGCCAATAGAATTAGTGTTATATCACTATAAGAAACTTGGATGAAGGACATATGACTTAACATCTGACAAGTGCAATAATTTTCAGAGTTCCATGGCCTAGAATGCATGAACACTACTAGAATAAATGGTTTTTGGAAAGAGAAAGTTTAGATTATAAGCCTAGATGTTATATCTTCTAAGTCTAGTAGTTGAGCCTCAACCACTCTGAGATGAATCAAAGTTCTATCCATTTGGCACCCTAGGCTTAAATACTTGGTCTTAAAAGCAAAACACGGCAGCAAAGACTATTTACCCTCAGGTAATTCTGAAATAAAATTTCCCTGGGAAAGGTTTTTGGAAAATCTCCTCCTACAGACTTCCCCATAATGTTTCTTGGTCAGCATTTACTTCCATGGAGACATTCTCTCTTTCCTCCTTCTTACTTACCATTGTACTTACATTGAGATAACTGCCTTGTTCACCCATATGTTTTTGGGAATGGGACCCTCGGGCCCCTATATTCAGTTTTAAGCTCAACGAGAACAGGGCAAAGACAGCAGAGGGCCATGGTGATAATATGAACCCCTAGAGTTCATATGGTGAGGCCACTTCATAGATGGTGCCACCTTAGAATGGCATTCTGTTACTTTGTAACTAAAGCCCCGAGGAAGGTGTTAAGACAGGTTTACCTTATTCCAAATTCTATTTAATAGAAAATAATATAAACCAGTTTCAGCATCTTACATTGAAGTGAAGGAGAAGAGAATCAGGCAACACTTTCAATATTCTCCAGCTCTTTGCTGGGCCAAAGAAGTTCTGTTTATTTGGAGAGTTAAGTTCTCTTCCTCCTTCATGCCATCCAGAAGTACAGCACCTAAGTATAATTAAACTAAAAACACTTTAGCATTTATTATGACTACAAAGTTCTATGCTAGGGCTGGGGATGTTAAAGAAAAAAAAATCCTATAGTCCCTGACCTCAGAGTGCTGAACCTGGGGTCAAGAAGACCTGAGATCAAGTCTTACCTTACACATTGACTTTTACCAGCAGATGTGGAGGATCTTCAGAATGCATAAGAGAAAGTGAACACTTACTCTCGGATTCAGCCAAACTGGCCTATTTATTGTTCTCTATACATCTTCTTCCTTTGCAAAAGCTGTTCCCCATACCTGGAAAACTTTTCTTCCTCTCCTCTTGAAATTCTTTTTAAAAATTTTTTTCCAATTATATGCAAAAAAAAACAATTTTTAACATTTATTTTTAAAAATTTTGAGTTCCAAATTCTCTCCCTCCTTCCCTGGACCCTTCTTAAGAAGGCAAACAATATGATATAGGTTATACATTAGTAGTCATGCAAAATTTAATTCCATATTAGTCATGTTGTGAAAGAAAACACAGACAGGAAAAAAAAACAAGAAAAATAAAGCTTAAAAAAGTATGCTTCAATCTTCATTCAGAGCCCATCAGTTGTTTCTCTGGAAGTGGATAGCATTTTTCATCTCGAGTCCTTTGGAATTATCTTGGATCACTGAATTACTGAGAATAAGTCATTCACAGTTGACCATCTTACAATATTGTTGTTACTGTGCACAACGTTCTCTTTGTTCTGTTTACTTCAATTTGCATCAGTTCATTTAAGTCTTTCTAGGTTTTTCTAAAGCATCCTGCTTATCATTTCTTATAGCACAATAGTATTCCATCACACTTATATACCATGACTTATTTAGCCTCTTGAAATTCTTCTAATTTCTTCTAAGCTCTGCTCAGCTGATATGTCCTAGATACCTCCTAGACACAGCCTTTCTTGATCCTCTAGGCCAGGGGTGGGGAACCTTCAGCCTTGAGGTCACATGTAGCCCCCTAGGTCCTTGGGTACAGCCTGCTGACTGAAGTTTTGCAGAACAAATCCTTTTATTAAGGGGATTTGTTCTGTGAAGTTTGGATTCAATCAAAGGGCCACAGTTGAGGACCTAGAGGGCCACATGTGGCCTAGAGGCAGCAGGTTCCCCATCCCTGCTGTAGGCATTAGGTACTCCTGAAAACTACTTTGCATTTACTATTTATGTAGCTTGTATTTATTTTTCTGTACACATCGTACTGGCCCCCTCTCTCCTGACCCTTCTTCCCCTCATAGGGGATGAACTCATTGAAGGAAGGGACTTTTTTGCTTTTTCCCTGTTTAACATTTGTGCAGGGGTAGAAGAAAGTGCTTGATTTGTGAGTAAGGCTCGTTATATCCTCTTGGCTGGCTCCCACCCTTTCATGAGGAGTGGCACCATTCTTTTTTCCTGTTCTTTCTTTCAGGTATGACTTCTTTCCCATCAACTACACAACAAGCAAAGTGGTACAGTGGATGGAGGGCTGAAGACCTGAGTTCAAATCCAGCTTCAAACAGTTACTAGTTGTGTGATCCTGGGCAACTCATTTAACCCTGTTTGCCTCAATTTCCTCATCTGAAAAATGAGCTGGAGAAGGAAATGGCAAACCACTCTAGTACCTTTGCCAAAAACAAAACAAAACAAATGGGATCAAAAACATCAGACACGACTGAACAACAACTAGTCAACACCCTCAGCTCACCACTCAGTGAGAATGGTTTTCTTTTTAAATCTGACTCAGAAGAAACAATTGGAATAGGAGGTTCCTAAGAGAACTGCCTCAGAAAGGTTAATTTCAGCTCTCTTGGAAACCTGCTGTGCCCCACTCCCCACCCCCATCCTCCATCCCCTGCCCCTGCTAATTCCTTTGCTCAGGGAATCTGGGTCCATGTATTCCTTGCTTTTGCATCTGAGACTATAAAGATATGCATTAATAAAATTTCTTTTGCTCATCCTGAGCCCTTGGTTGGGAAGGTCCCACTTATTGAACAGAGAATTTCTCTCTCCCTCTGGTGAATATAGACATGGATTTGGTTGTGCTTTGTCTGCACAAGCAGAATGAGCTCCCACAAGAATGTTATCATGGATCCCCTGAAGCATTGAAAAAATAACAAATATTATTATTATATTATGACTAGAAACTGACATATCAAGGAATGGACTAAGAGGACTTATCACCTTCATCCTAGGTAGAACCTTGCCTCTGTCTTCCTCACCTCCCCAGCTGGAGTAGAGCAGGCAATAGTGATACATGGTTACAATTCAAGGTGCATCTTCTGGAATTATAATGGGCATCAGATAGATTACTGAGGAAATGAATCAATGTAATAAGAACCACCTGAGCCAGGGCCTGATAAAGTATATACCTAAGACCCTGAAAAGTTATCAGAAGTAGCCTTGGAAGTAGAGTCAAGGATGAGCAGCCAGAAAAAGACATAGAATATCAGAAAGCAGCTTTGCCAGCTGCTCCAACTAGCTGAACAGCAGCCTGGCCACCTCTCACACTGGTAAGTTACTGGAAGTCTTGGTGGAGGTGAAGCTGGGATATTAGCTGTGGGGCAGGGGAGGAGGTGGGTCAGAGGTGTTCTGGAGACAGCTCAAAGCAGCTCCTCAGAGCCACCTGTTAAATTGTCAGTGTGAACTTATGCCTTTGCAAACCCTACAAATCAGATATTGATTTATTGTTTTGTTGATTGCCTAGAAGTGAGAAAGTGATGGAGAAAATTTTAATAATGAAGGTTAAACTTAAAAGTGTGCCAATCATACATTTTTCCTCAGAGCCAGTTATTAAATATTTACCAGCCCATTGCTGATTAGTATGCCATCAAACTAAAGAATTTACATTGAAGAAGAGGTCCCTTTTTCAGGTGACTTTGCCTTCCCCCTGGAAGTTAATCAACGTATCACCAGAGGTGAAGCTAAAGAACTGGTAGGGCATATCTATTCTACCTGCACCTGACTCGAAAGAAAACTTGAAGTGTTAACATCTAGGAACTTGAGCTAAAAATAATAGCCCTTCTGTAGGAGCTGTAATTATTGTTATCATTTTATAGATGAAGTGGGAGCTTAGCAATTCTCTTGAGGTCACACATCCAGTAAACGTGTAAGGCAAGACTTGATCTCAGGTCTTCCTGACCCCAGGTTCAGCACTCTAACCACTACACCACCTAGCTGGTTCATCATTCTTATGTGAAGAGACAATAAAAAGGTTGAAGACACACAATTTTATTTTTTGGCTTACCAGTTGAGAAAAACAGAAGATCTCTGAGCCTTTAGAAGGGAAAAATATGTATGTGGCAATTCTCCTAGAGGCTTCTGATGAAGAGAAAGCAGCTTCTCTGTTTCCACAGAATAACAAGGAGGATCAACAGTTTTTATCTGAAGCAGGACTGTTTTTTTCCTGGCCATAAAGAGAAGAGAGACATCATGATATGTTCTCTTCTGAGGAAGTACTGAGGTAGCTATATATCAATCTGATACGCCTAATTGAGAAAGTGTAATTTTCCTGGGATATACATTAAATTGGTCAAAATGGTGGTAGATAGAGGAATGGGAAGGGTCTCAATAATGAAACAACCACAAATTATTCCAATGAGGAAGGGAATATGAGGGGAAGGGATACTCTAAAGTAACCAATGTGGCCGTACAGGGAACTCATCAGTAAGTTCACCTTCAAAAAGAATGTGTACAAAAGCTGGAGGCAGGAGTAGGTACCAAGATAAATTCAAAAGTGTGGCATGGTCCTTGAAGAAAAGTACAAGTCTGGTCTAGAGCTTAAGCTTCTGATGGATGCTAAGAATATGCTGAGTATAACAAAAAGGACTTGTTAGAATTATGTTGGAAGTAAGAGGAGCAACAAGTATTGAAACCAAGGAAATGAAATTTAATAGGAATAAATGTAAAGTACTGCACTTAGGACTAAAAAACAATTGCACAAGAATAGAATTGTAGAAATGTAACTAGAAAACAATTCATGTGAAAAGACATGCAGGTTTCAGGAGACTGCAAGTTCAATTTGAGTTTATGTAAGTGCCAATAGTGCTGATTCAATCTTAGCAGAGTTGGGGATGAGCTCCATAATGGTGGTTTTCAAGTATTTGAAGATCTGTGACATGAAAGAGAGATTATAGTTATTCTGTTTGTTCAGAAAGGGAAGAACTAAGAACACTGGTTGAAAGTTGCAAAGGGAAAATTTTGTTTTGATGTAAGGAAAAATCTTTCTAACAGTCACAGTTATCCTAAAGTGTAATGGGCTCTCTTGGCAGATTTTCTGGGGTCCACCAACCACAACTGGAGGTCTTGAGACAATGACTGAAGAATCACCTGCATATGATACATTAGAGGAGTTGATTTTTCAGGTATGTGTTGGAATAGGTAAACTTCAAGGTCCTTTCCAGTGCCAAGATCAAGTGGATTTCTGTGTCTAGTTTTGTGCCTCATACTTTAGGAAAGACAAAAACACGTTGGAACCAGTCCTACACACAGAGACACATAAATCAATATGTTCAGGTACACACCCTGGAAGACAATTGATGCCTATGGGGAAAACTTGTCAGAAATCATATATGTGACTATGTATTGTACTTTTTTTTACCCAGTGTGAAAGGAAGAGAATGTATATCTCGGTAAATTCAAATATGCATTATGCTTTCTTTGAATCAGTGACAAAATGTCTCTCTCAAGCCCTCCTTTCTTCCTCCCCATTCTCATCCTTATGCCTTTTAGCAATGAAAAGGCCTAAATTGCAAATCAATAGTCAGTTTGAGTTCAATATTATGATATTTGAAGTTTAGCTTAGTTTTGAGCTCTTGCCTAAGATAAAGGTAGGGATCGATTGAGTCAATCAATCACTGGACCCCACTTGAAGTAACTAACAAACTATCTAGCCCTTCATTCTTTTAGCAGGTGAGAACTCTCTACTGATTCAATCAAGCAAAGGTATTAAAATAATGTATGCCCTGTCATACCCTATGGTTCTTCTATAACATAACAAGCCAGTTCACACCCAAGTACTCAGCTGTTTGGCAGCTTAGAAGAGCCAAATCCCTTAGAAGGATCACTTGATGGGGTTTGGGGTGAGGGGAAAAAAGAAGTGATCAGAACTCTCACCATTATACCACCTAGCTGGTTAATCACTCTTATGGAAATAGACAGTTAAAAGGTTGGATATACACATCTCTATTCTGACTCTCCAGAGTCAGAACAGAAGAGCTCTGACACTTTGGAGGGTAAAACAAATATATGCAAATTCTTCTAGAGGGCTTCAGGAGAAGAGAAAAAGGATTTGTCTTCTCTACACCTTGCTTTGACCAGAGAATGACCTTGTGAACTTCAAAGGTTGGAGGTTTTGGACTTCTCATCTGCATCCTAGCAGCATCCCAAAGAACAGCAATGACTGGCAGCCATGTTTTGGTTTCTACATTGGGAGCTGAGGAGAAACTAGGTATTCTGAAGCAAAGGTAGCTTCAAGACTGTACAAGTAGCCAAGAAGAAAACTAGAGCATACCCAAGGGGAACTTCATGAGTGCTACACAAAGGGAAGAAAAAAACTTCTAGTTGCTGTGAGTTACTCCTTTGCAATATACATTTCTACACTTGAGCCCACTTTCTCACAGACCAGATACGTAGTTGTAGAAGGATGTGTCCCCAACTTTTAAGGGCTGGATTTTCATACTGACTGTTCTTTCTATACCACCATAGTTAACAACCACTTCTAAATATGTACAAACAACCTAATTAAATCTGTCTGGCTGATCTTAACTGATAATCATGGAGGAAGCACACCACTGACTAGAAAACTAACCCATAACTACTCAGGATTTACCTGGAGTGGATCCAAAGGGAGTTGAAAGAGTGATCCCAGAGCATGTGCTACACTAATATTTCATAGTATTGTATCCAATATCCCTTCAAAATCTACCCCTTTTCCTAAGTTCTCTGTTTTTGATGAGAATACCATCATTCTTTTAATCACTCTGGTTCATGACCTTAGAATCCTCCCTAATTCTTCACTCTTCTTCATCCCTCATATCCAGTTGACTGCCAAGACCTATTGATTCTACCTCTTTGTCTCAAACACCTATCCTTTTCTCTTCATGAACATAGCCACCACCATTCAGTCCCTTATCACCTCTCACCTGGACCATTACAATAATTTCCTAATTGGTCTCCCTGCCTACTCTTCCTCCCCTGATCTTACCAATGTATCTTTTATACATTTGCCAAATTTATATTCCTAAAGCACAGGTCCATAATGGCCACATCACTCCACTGCTCAAGAAATAATAGCTCCCCATTCCCTCTAGGGTAAAATACAGACTATTGTGTCTAGAACTTAAAGCATCTTTGACTGATTAGACATTATTCACATTTAAGCACTCTACAATTCAGCTAAACTGGCTTTCTTGTTATTCCATGTACATAATGTTGCATCTCATGCCTCTTTGCTTTTGCATAGGATACCCCCCACCCCATGCTGGGAATGCCTTGTCTCTTCACCTTCACCTATTAGAATCCCTAACTTCCTTCAAAGCATGGCTCAGGTACCACCTCCTACAAGAAGCTTGCTTGAGGAACAGTTAGTTGGCGCAGTGGGTAGAGCACTGGCCTTGGATTCAGGAGGACCTGAGTTCAAATCCAGCCTCAGACACATAACATTCACTAGCTATGAGATTCTGGGCAAGTCACTTAACCCCAACTGCCACATACACACACACACACACACACACACACACACACACACACACACAAAGAAGCTTGCTTGATCCCATTGCCCCAGTTACTAGTTCTTCTCCCCTGAAATTACTTCTTATTTGCTGTATATATTGTATATTAGTTGCCCCCTGTGCATATGTATATATCATTTGCCACCCCACCCCCCCAGAATGTAAACTCCTTGAGGGCAAGGGACCATTTCACTTTTGCCTTTGTATTGCCAGTGCCTGGCAGAGTGGCTGGTACATAGGCACTCAGTAATCTTTTTTAATTAAATTGAAAATTACATTTTTTCTCCTCTTGCTTGCCTACTAAGAGAAGATGCATGAGACCCAGTATGAGAAGACGAGACCCAGCTTTGAATCCCAGTTCTAAAGCTTGCTAGCTGTGTGATATTGGCAAGTCATGTAACTACTCTGAGCTGTAGTTTCATCATCTATATAATGGGCACAATAATACTTGTACTGCCTACCTCATAGTGTTTCTGTGAGCAAAACACTTTGTAACTCTTAAAGTGCTATAAAATGGTAGTTATTATTATTGTTCTAAAAATTAAATATCATTATGATATTTCAAAATTATCTGCTGATTGTACCCCTATTTCATATTCCTCTTTTTTTCTGTCAGACTAATAACCATCAAACACGTTTTAGTTATGAGTAGCTCTTTATTTCTTTTTATAAGAGTGGTAACAAAAAATAAACTACGGACAATCCTTTGACTTCAACATGTTAAGAGAACTGTGGCAGGTCTATAGGAAGATGTGACAAAATTCACACAGTATGAAGAGATATGTATGTGTTGAAGCTTCACCACACTGATGAGAACACAAATTTGTTGGACATTTGGAATGTCGATAATTAATTGGAGTATTAGATCTTTGGAGCGCCAATATTTCAGAGTTTTGTACCCTTCCCTTCCTCCTCTATTTCACATGCTTTGTCCCCTTCTCATCCAAAGCAATTAGTGCTAATTTAGGTTTCCCACTGCTTTCTTGAGGTCTTTTACTTTGTAATTTCCTTGTTTTATCATTTTTTCCATCTTTTCTAGGAATTCTTCATTTTTTCCCTAATAAACTAAGAGAAAAGAAACATTCCTGTAGACCTCTCTCAACTTGTCTTTGAGTAGAGACATTTTAAAATTTCATTTAAAAATAAATTTTTATTGATATCTTTTTTTTATATGTCACTAGAATTTCTTCCAGTGTCTCTCCCTCTTTCCCTACTTAGAGAACCATCTCATATAACAAATGGTGAAGAAAAATAAAAGAAAAAGAAGAAAAAAACTCAATGAAGCTGATCAATATGAAAAAAAAACCTGAAAATATATGCAGTGGAACACACCTGTGGATCTCCCACCTCTGCAAAGGGATGGGTGGGGTTGTCTCTTCCTTCGAGCCAGGTTCGATCTATGTAATATTAAAACGTTTACTTTTGACTGTTTTTTGTTTCTCCCTTCCCATTTACATTGTTGTGATTATGTATGTTGTTTTCTTGGCTCTACTTACTTCACTCTTCATCAGATCATGTAACTCTTTCCATGCTTCTTTGTATTTACCATATTTTTTCATTACTTAAAACAGTAATATTCCATTTTGTGCATGTACCACAATGAGCATCTACTTTGCTTCCAGTTCTTCCCTGTCACAAAAAGAACTACTATAAATATTTTAGTATATATGAGAACTTCTTATCAATGACCTCCTTGGAGTATGTCTAACAATAGAACCTCTGAGTCAAAAGGTATAGACCTTTTAGTCATTTTTGTGCAATTTCAGACTGATTTCTAAAATGGTTTAACAACTGATTCACAGTTTCATCAACAATATGCTAGAATATACCCACAACCACTCCAATATTGACTATTCTCATCTTTTTTTCATCTTTGCCAGTTTGTTGGGTGTGAGGTGAAACCTTAGGGTTGTTGTGATTTGCATTTTTCTTATTATTATTGATTTGGAGCATTCTTTCAAATGATTCTTAATAATTTGTCATTCTTCTTTTGAAAACTTTTGTTATATACTTTGATCACCTTTCTAATGGGGAATGGCTTTTGGTCATAAATATTATGTAGGTATGCATGTATGTATTAATGTCTGTGTGTGTATGTGTACACACACACACACACACACACACACACATACACATATACCCATATACACACAAATACAAAGGTAGCTAGGTGGTGCAGTGGACAGAGAGCTGAACCCAGAATCAGGAAGACTGAGCTCTAATCTTGCCTCAGACTTATTAGATATGTGACCCTGGGCAAATTGCTTAACCTCTATCTCTGTTTCTTCATTTGCAAAATGAGACTAACAATAGTATCTACCTCCCAGGTAGATAAAAATAAGAAAACATTTGTAAAACATGTTACAAACCTTAAAAGGTTATATTAATGCTAGCTATTATTATTATTAATCTTAGCTGTCCATATATCTAGGATACCAAATCCTTATTTGAGAAATTTGATTCAAAAATTTTTTTCCCAATTGATTACATCTCTTCTTATTCTACATAGATGAATTTTGTTTGTGCAGAAGTTTTTCAGTTTCATGTATCTTAAGTCGTCAGTTCTATAATTGTAATTTCTCCAAACAAGAGATTATTTGGTTAAAAATTCATCTACTACCCATAGCTATGAAAGGTATATGACTTGCTTCTCTTCTAATTTTTTATGGTATAATCTTTAATATCCTGGTTGCATAAACATTTCAGATCTATTGAAGAATATGGAATAAAATGTTGTTCTAAGCCTGATTTCTGCCAGACTGCTTTCCAGTTTTCCCAGCAGTTTTTATCAAATAGGAAGTTCTTTCCTATATAACTCATATTTTGGAATTTATTAAACATTAGTGTATTGAGCTCCATTGCTACTGATTATCCATTGTCTAGTCTTTTCCATTGATCAACTTTATTTTTTAAACAATGCTAAATGGTTATAATTACTGTTATTTATAAAATAGTTTTAGATCTGAAGGTACTCTTCTTCATCCCTACTTTTTTTAATTATTTACCTTGATATTCTAGACCTCTTATTTCACCTAATGACTTTTCTTATTATTTTGTGGAGTTCCAAAAAATATTCCTTTGCTAGTTTGAATGGTATAGCATTAAAATTGTTAATTAATTTTAGTAATACTGGCATTTGTGTTATATTGACATGGTCCAGCCATGAGTACTAAATATTCCTCCAGTTATTTAAGTTGGTTTTTTTTTATTTCTTTAAGAAGCATTTTTTAATTGAATCTATACAAGTGTTTTGTGTCTCTTAGTAGATAGCTCTCCAATAGTTTTACGCATTTTGTAGTTATTTGAATGGGATTCCTGTTTCTAGTATTACCTTTTGGATTTTGTTTTTACTATACAGAAATGCTGCTGATATTTGTGGGTTTGTTTTGTAGCCTATAAGCTGAAGCTATTGTCTTAATTAGTATCTTTGTTGATTCCCTAGAATTTCCTAAGTAAACTATCATGTCATCAGGGAATAGGAATAGTTTTAAGTTCTCTTAACCTATTTCTATACTTTAATTTCATTCTTTTGTCGTATGGATGTTGCTAGAATTTCCAGAATTATGTGAAATAATAGTAGGGAAAATGGCATCATTGCTTTACTCTTGTATCTATTGGGAAAACTTCTAATATGTTCCCATTTTATTTGAAGCTTGCTTCAAGTTTTAGATAGATACTTTTGACAATACTTTTAAAAGGTCCCTCGATGCCTA